TTTTGCAGCTTCCCCTATAGACACTGCGACATCGACGTAGCAAAAAACACGAGGTTTTGCAGCTTCCCCTATAGACACTGCGACAGCTACGTAGCAAAAAACACGAGGTTTTGCAGCTTCCCCTATAGACACTGCGACATCTACGTAGCAAAAAACACGAGGTTTTGCAGCTTCCCCTATAGACACTGCACATCTACGTGGCAAAAAACACGAGGTTTTGCAGCTTCCCCTATAGACACTGCGACATCTACGTAGCAAAAAACACGAAGTTTTGCAGCTTCCCCTATAGACACTGCGACAGCTACGTAGCAAAAAACACGAGGTTTTGCAGCTTCCCCTATAGACACTGCGACATCTACGTAGCAAAAAACACGAGGTTTTGCAGCTTCCCCTATAGACACCGAATTAACGACGCGAAAAACGACGCGAAAACGACGCGAAAAACGACGACGAAAACGACGCGAAAACGACGCGAAAAACGACGCGCCGACCAACTGGCGGCGAACAAAGGTCCAACCCCCAGACCCCCAACTATAAACGGGAACCCTTCGCTACGCATTCGGGAAAAATACCGTGAGGCCTTTGCTAGTTCCTGAGTTCCTTTTATTTGGAAGACATGATGATGTCCTCATTGGGTTTCCACGCGCCCGGCTAACGCCGATCAGGCAGCTACCACCTGAATCTGGTCGTTGCTTTTGTGACGCTAGTTGTTTGGGGGTCCTAGTGGGTTGGGGGCTGCTCAAAGATGGTTGTGCAATGAGTAGGCGCTATGTTTCTAGATTGCAGGTTCTGTATTTACATGCCAGCTACAGAAGGGAGCCAGAGGTTTGCAAAACAACAATTAATTATTCTCTCATCGCTTTCTTCTGCCGCAGCCGAGCATTTTTTTAGGGTCAAAATTCAAACAAGACGAAATAAATTGCCTCACTATTTGTTTGCTGCTCGGATCGAAGGCGCCCGGAGTCGAATGATTGTGGGCTGCTTTTGTGGGCAGGGTGGCTCCTGTACCTGCCATTTGCCTTGCAAGATGGAATCTCCCAAAGCGCAACATTCTGATTCAATTTGGAGCAACATGGAAAGAAATCCGAATCCGGAACACTTGAGGCTTGCAGTTAACTAGAGTTCGAAAAAAATGACGTTGCCAAGATGCCAAGATCCCTTTTTGAAGCAGGGGTTCTTCGCCAAGTGTTTTTCGGGTACCTCAAAGAGTAGTTTGGCGATGATCCACCCAGTCCAGGCTCAGCGGTAGAGATACTTGGACTGCAAGCGGATGTTGCGACATCCATTGGTGGTGGATTCATGGTGCTCCATTGGATAAAGATGGACAGAGGGACAGTTTATGGCTGGATTCATTGTATAAGTTTGAGAGAGAGGCTTCCATGGCAGCAGAACAAGCCATATATCAACTGCTCTTGCAACTAAAGATCTAGTTTTATCCGGATGTTAGTTTCACCAGACACATGCGACTGAGATTTTTTTTCTACTGTTCCTTCCAATCGCATGCCATGCTGGGGGGAAGACGGGAGAGTGGAAACACTGAGGATGGACGTCCAAAGAATTATGTGCTGCTTTCTGCCGCTAGGCTTTCCCAGTGTTTCCTCCGCAGTCAGTCACTGTGAGAACTACTGGACTAGGGGTCTCGGATTCCACTTGGCCTTAGCCTTCCGGCTGGTGGGATGTGCAAACAGTTCTTGGTGTGAAATCATACAATTTCCTTCTTGTGGTGCCATCAGTATCCCTATACCAGAAGTATAGCATTATACAAGTATGAATTATATGGACACTAGATGGCACTAGTATTTGTGAGTTTAAATCAAAATCTTGCGAATCATCTCGAAGTGCTCAGTATGAACCATCCAATTTTGGGCATCCATGTTTGATCCCCTTCGCTGTATTGCCAGTCAATAGGTCGGCATAGGCAGTGGCCAGAACCCATTTTGTTGGTTGGATCATGTTGGATCATCAGCATTCTTCCAAAAATATAACTATATACTAACCCAACCAAAAATGCAAAGGTTATCCTCCAAACATAAATGATTGTACTTTGTAATTTCTAATCCCAAAAGAAAACAAGAAGCTCAAACTGGAGAACCAACACCGCCTCAGATACCACTGAGGCCACTCCTGGTGGCCTCCATGGCTTCAAACACCTGCCAGGAGGGCAGTTTGAAATAGTTTGAATGGGGTATTTGCTGAAGAACCATGATCAACCGTGAGATTTTGGGGTACTGAGGGTAATGTAATTACCATATGTTCAGGACCATGCGACATCAGCTGATTCTAGTGAATATCTACCAGCAAATACCAAATACATGGGTTTGTCTCAAAACGGGGCACGGACCCCAAGAATTGTGATGTTTATGAATAGTTATGGTTGGTTCCATCATGATGATGACGATGGTGGTGGTGGTGGTGGTGGTGGTGTAGCGGCGGCGCCGGCGCCGCCGACGACGACGACGACGCCGACGACGACGACGACGACGACGATGATGATGATGATGATGACGATGACGATGACGATGATGATGATGATGATATTGATATGATGTGGTAACCTGATATCACTTGTGGGACCGGAAATTGATGGCACATGATCATGCATACGCTTCATGGATGGTACCGTTGAGTTGCGTGGATGCAAGACTGGATACTAAACCCGAACTTTGGGTACAGATGTGATGTACAGATGATACTGATAGTTCATCACTGTTGGATGCTGGATTCAGAATCCGACTTGGCGCATCTTGGCGCAGGAAGGCAATTCGGCAAATGGCACTTGTGAAACTGTGGCTATGATGCAGAAGCCACAGCTGAAAACGACCCCAGTGAGGGGAGGACGGGGATGTCAGGGATGTCAGCAGGGGGTGAAACTAGTTGCTGAGCTGAGGTAAAGTTCTGAGGCATTTCCAACTTTTCAGAGACAGGTCGGTTAGGTCTTGCCAGGTTCAGTTGGTAAACACATTGCATTGCAACGCATTGCATTACATCACATTGCAATGCAATACATTGCATTATATTACATCAATGTTTGACTCTGACTGATCATAGCTGAGTTTGTGCAATTGCAGGACCTGTTCCCCAGATAGAATGCCAAGGCTTCAAATGCGAGCGAGGCATTGCTGGTGTTTGGGTCATCAGGGACTGCAGGCATTCACCAGAACGGATCTGCAGATTTTGTAGATTGTTTGTCCCATGATATAATCCCATGATTTACAATGTTTCATAGTTACCAATAGCTACCAACTGGTGCAGGATTTTGTCGACAGTATGCCATCCATTTGAACTACTTGTATGATGTTGGAATATGTTGGAATAAATTTGATTTAAAGTCCACCAGCATGTAGTATCTTTGTGTAGCCTAGCTTTAAGCCAAGCTCACCCGCCTCTGTTTGAGGAGTCCCTGTCGGCGGAGTCCATCGCGGAAAGAAGGCATTGGCAGAGGGTGTGCCCAGCAACTTGGCAGAACTTGGCAGATCATAGACAGGCGGTGGGCCGGTGGTGTTAGACGATCAATCCACATTCTTCTTAGATTCTTGGATTGCCCTGTTTTTGATGGTTAAATCCACTTAAATCCACTTCCAGTTCCTCATGTCCGGTTCTTCCAGGATTCTGAGAGATGTACCCATTCTGTCGTCGTTTGGGCTAGATTACGACTAGTTTACCACCGCTGGTCCCAGACTCTGGGTTCGACGTGAACTTTGATGGCAAGAAGAGGAAAGCGTTCCTTCCTGGCGCTCATGTCATAGAACCTAGGATGCACATTTGTTCCACACATGTTGTTTCTGGCGGAGTCTTGGGTTTTGATAGGGAGATGGTTCGTCAGCGTGACGGAAAGTTGGGCATTTGATGGCCTATGCTCCTTTCGACCCGCTCAGGACGACACCACGGTGCAGTATGGTATTAATGACAAGTCTCTTGCCGAACACTCATCCCTAAGTTTCGCCCCCGCCCATCCCCCAAAGCTGCGTTCAAGTTTCAATGACACGAATACAATTGTTGTTTCGGGCTTTGATTTGTCCAGTTTTTCAGTCCTTGCTGTGCATCTCAGGTACTACTTGATGAAATCAGACACCACGGATTACAGCAACCCAGCAAACTTCGAAAAGCTACTTGGCGCCAGAGCCGGGGGGGTGCAAAATGGAGTTAATGGAGTCAACTTGTTGGCAAAACTTGGCACCGTGCAGGGTGAAGCTGGCCGGGAAGACAATGATCACCGAGATCAGCCTCAACGGAGCGTGGGATGGGGCCAGTTTTGGGGACCTCCAGGGGATCAGAATGGATCAGATGGGGAAGAACCGGACTGAACCGGGAAGGGCCTTCGGGCCTTCGGGTTTGATCCACAGATCTGGTTTGGAATTGTTTGATTTGAACTTTTGGGGGGTAAAGATGAATGCTGAGCATGCGTTGTCCGACACTGTAAATATGTCAAGGACTTGTCAAAATTCAAACAACACGCTTTGGTCAGTTGGAAAGGCTGGTCACCCGAAAGATAGATAGCAGGTTCGGTTTAGATAGCAAGATAGATGGATTGATAGATAGATAGATAGGCAGATGGATGGATAGATGATGGATAGTTGTTTCTGGAGTTGTTGCTCCCACGTTGCCTTCGCCCAGACCAGGAGCCAACTGTGGTTGCAACGTCAACTTTTTCTTGGTGAGCATGCCGGCAGGACCGCCTGGGCATCCTGGCACACAAGGGTCATCACTAGCAGACACCTGAGAACAAGGAGACCCAAACAGATAGGTACGGATAGTCAAATAGCACTTACATATGCTTACATCACATGTGTATGCACTTCTTCATTCAATACGACACAATAGGCAGTGTAAGCAGTGTTGCCTGGTCCGTTGCTTGCTGTTTCCATGCCTGTAGCTGCTGGCAATGACAAGATGCCTACGTATGCCGCATACTATGCTGCTTTGTGAGCTGAGGCAGTATCACGACCACTACTGTGATGCAAATTGCGTGGGTGGAAACTGCTGTGCCGAATTTGACATCAATGAAACTTGACAGACTGAAGAGGTACGGCAAGTTATTTTGCAAACGTCATGCCAACTTGATTTATTCTCTTATATATATATATAGACGATTGATAAGGAACCCCTCGCCTGCCCTTCATGGGTCAGTATCATGACAAGAGTTACACTTGGCTCCAATGGCAAGCTCACGGATCTTTCAGCACGGCTTGGTTTGATGACAAGGACTACCAAAGGGATTTCAAGAGAAACATACAGCCCAGTCCTCGCTCTCGAAATGTTGGCTTATTCCATGAACCAATGTTCTATTTCGAAAGAGTTGGATTGCCACAGAGTAGTCAAGTGGATTCTGCTGACCAGAACCTGCTCAGGAGATGAATGACCATGCATTGCAGATCACAAACCACAATTGTACCTTGTCCCCAATAGGTACGACTGCATTTCTTTTTTGCTCCACAGTAGCCATCAATGGCCCGGAGCTATTTCTGCAGCTGTGCACTGTAGGAATATGAATGGTTAGAATATGATGACCTATAGATGATAGATACCTTGTCTTGAAACACTAGTCATGAAACAGAACAACGAAATATGATCAAATACGTTCTCAAGAAGCAAGAGAGCACCGAGTGGGATCGATAAAGTAGTTGGCACAAAAATTCTGACTGCCGCAGTAATGGGCAAGGCTATGGAAATCCGAGCAAGGGCAGTTGCGACGGCGATGGTGCTCGGATTGCAGTTGACACATTCTGGACACATTTGGTTGGCGTCAGGAATCCCTGTTCCACCATTTGCCTAACGGGACCAGTGTGTTACATGTTATTAGATTTATCAGTCTGTACCGAAGGATTTTGCATAAAAACCCACTTCGTCAGGATGCGAAGGTTACACGCACTTCTCCTGATACAGTAAAGCGTAGAATCGCATAGCCAGACTCTAAGTGCGACAGTTTCCATTCCGGATAGTATTCATGTGTTCAGACATTCTTTTTAGGCAAGGCGGCTGCTCTTGTTTGTACTAGTTACTAGTTTGTTCGCAAAGTGCGCAGGGGCATATGCTGAACAAAAGCTGTAAGTCAATCAGTATTGCGTGAGGATACAAAGGCAATGGATGACGTGGCGATTGGGAAGTTGTTTGTGCTGAGGACATCCCATGGTCAGATTTGGACCGCCAGAGTATGGGCCTGGAAGCCACTCAGCAGATTGTTGATTGAAGGAAACTGACATCAGCTGGTGATAAATACGGACACCCAAGGAATCCATAGGAATCCTACAGGGAATCGCAAGGAACAGTAAGATGGAAGGATGCCCTGAAGCCCTGAAGGCATCCCGAGATGAAAGGATCCCACAAGACGAGGCCAGCATGTTTTCCATATTTTTCCATCATGCTCTGAGGTTGGCACACCATTGACACTACCAAGCCCTTCACCTTTGCACTTCAAGTCCAAGAGGTTTGGGACAATCTTGGGACAGGGAGTGGAGCAGAAATAGGCATACTCTTTGGATCTCTTTGGCATGGGAGATGGTTCCTGAGATGAGCTGGGGCAGTTGCAGCAGCAATGACTGGAACGAATCGACAGCTTAAAGTGTCGATCATAAGAGTCTCAACTTGCAAATTAGTAGAAGCGAGGAGGGACCTGATGCCCTGAAATGAAAGCACAAACCAAGGTTGTTTTATTTTCCTTGGCTTTTCATATCTTTTCATGCTTGTTCAAGTGTCAACATAAAACATCATAAAACAACTTCAGACAAGAATTGTGTGGTTTTCTTATGTTTTCTTCACCTGGGCCAGAACATTGCTGGTAACAACGACCCAGACAACCACCTGATGGTCTATGTGCGCCTTTGGCAGAATGCCACTCGGCACCCATCAAGGGAAGACTGGATAACGTTGTATGAATGCTCCATTCCTGGCCAACACTAGGCCAGGGAAATCAGAGAGTGAGATTGGGAAGGTATGTGCTCGTATGACTCATATCTCACATTCTGTCATCGTGATATTTGCGAGAAACTGTGTCAAGCATGAGATTTTCGAAGTGTGGAAAGAGTCAGTGCTGCGCCGGCCTCCAAGGGCAAAACTGTCATGAAGCAATTTGGTGGAGTAGGCAACCCAGTCAACTCACAATGGAGAATCTTGGCACATTTTGGCGTTCTTGGCTGGGAAAGTTTGACAAGAACACGGCTTTCCCACAAAGCGGGGCCAGCCCTGACTTTGACGCATGCATATGTCATTTTTTAGCACCAGAGGTTCTTGTTCTTGTTCTTGCTACGGTCAAACCCAATTTAGAAGCAGGTGAGTCTTTTGGTGATATTGCTCATTCTCAGACATTTTTAAGAAACCACACGAAACAGATGGCCAATCTGCGGAATTGTGCTGCCATCCCAGAAAACTTGGCGGATGGCATGGTCTTGGTCGTGGACTACTGGCAGAGCCAAAATCTGAACTGGTTGGATGGAGTTGGCTGCGGATACGGCAAGGAGTACTGTGCCGTGTCCTACACAGGGGAAATGACGAGATAGCACGGCAAAATCTTGTGTTGGCCTGAGTAGTGGGATAGAAACTTGGGCTGGACAATGTTTGCGGCGATCCTCAGTGAGGCATTATTGGGAAATGGGACTGTTCACAGAAAAGGTTCTTGTAGCCAAAGTAGTAAAGGTGAAGGTAGCAAAGGTGCCAAAGTCCCCTGGTTTGGAAGCGATTATGATCATAGGATTGCTTTCCACAGCAGACGGAACATGGTGCCAGTGCCAGTCATGTCGGGTTTTCCGCAAAAAGAGTCCACACGGACCGTGCCTGTGTATGGCGTGTTTCCCACCAGTGTATTGTAATGAACTGAATCTAGAAAAGTCTCAGTCAACAGTTACCGCTGCACCTTTGCCAGTTTCTAGATTGTAGATCCATGTCCAATCCTGATCTTTGTTTTGCCATCCTAGGTAGTGGCCATCGCGCAGACCTTTCAAAAATGCAGATCATCTCCAACGTGGCTTGCCTTCATCAATTTGGGATTGTTTTTTTTCTTGAGTGGGGGGAACGACTTGCCATGCCGGCCCGGATTCTTTGCATATACTGTAGGGTACGAGAATCATGAATGCTGAGATTGTGATGTGCTCCAGATTTCGAGAGGATAGCAAAGCCAATAATTAGCCACACAATCCCAGAGATCTTCCACATGGTGTGCCCCGTCCTGGACCAAAAGCAATAATGCTACAACCAAATTCGCACTGCAGAATACCTGTCAACGTGAGCTCTTGCTCTACATTAGTTGAGTTCATTGATCCCAATCTACATGTCCATTCAAGCCAGACATCAAGCATCATCAACTCAGGACTTAGAGAAGGCCGAGGATTGCCCTGGTGTTGGCAGCTGCAAATGCGATACTTGGCACCGGATGGAGCATCAGCAACGGTAGAAATGGAAAATGAATGAAATGATAGAAATGGTTTGAGCTTGAAGACTAGTTGGATAGGAAAGATCCGAAAGATTCAAGATCCACGGTGCTGCTTGTTTCACTGACAGACTGAGCATCCGGATGGCATCTTCTTTTAATCCGTTCCCCCTAATACTAAACCCCCCAAATAATAAACACCTCAGGTAGTTTTTATTATTAGGGGGGGGTATTTCTTAGTAGGGTGCGAAGCTTCCCCCTAATACTAAATTTAAACCCCCAATATAAAGAACTATGTTTTCTATTTCAAAATCGATTAGATTTCCTTTTAACATCTAATTAAAATATTGCCAAAAATTGGAATTCGAAGCTTCCCCCTAATACTAAATTTAAAAGCCTAATATAGAAAACTGTTTTTTTTCTATTAAGATATTGCCGAAAATTGGATTTTGAAGCTTCCCAGTAATACTAAATTAAAATAAATTAAACATAATTAAACACCGTAATATAAAATACTTTTTTTCCGACCTTAAGAGACGGACCCTAATAAAAAACACCCCGGGATTCACTAGTTTTTATTGTTGGGGGGTGAAACCCACAAATGGTAGCTTTATTTTTAAATTGTTTTCTAAAGGGTGTCAATTAAAAATCAAATTGGCCACACATTTTCCAAAATTGGAGACGGACCCCAGTTTTTATTATTCGGGGGGGGTTAGTAATAGGGGGAAGGGATTACATGCTATCAGCCCGAGTCTGCCTGCGGTAATCACTACTCGTTTTGGCCTCGAAGTTCTCCACCTTGTGCACACACACAGAAGTCTTCAGGCCCTCAAAAAATACATGGCTTCTACAGACAAATTGACACACGCGGGGATCGCAGCTGGAGTCAAAAATATTAGGGCATGCAACTGTTCAAAGAACTTTGAAAGAAAATACACTCAGCAATCATTGTTGTTCCTTTCAAACACGTATTTTGGGTTTGATTCCCACTGGATGAAGCTCAAGAAGCGTTAAGGATTGGTTCAACGCCAAGACAATGGCCTACGGCGATGATGGTACGGGCACCTGGCATTCCGTCCCAAGCTAGGTACCTTCTAATGATCAAACATGGATGGATGAAAAATCCACCATTTATAGATGAATTTATAGATGATTGTCCCATCAAAACCTCCATTTGGTTAGGGGATTTCCATGCAATCGCCATGTTTGAGTACCAGAGCAGGCGGTGGTAACGATTGGATCAGTTTGAATCCCCAAACATGAACAAGCAAATCACTTCCAGTTTGGAGTGCGTGATCGATGATGGTTGCAGGGTACCTGCAATGATCAATTTGTCAACCTTCAAAGCAACAAGCCACCCCAAAAGGCCCAAAACATGATCCAACCGCGGCGCTCAGCCACCGAATGCTGGTGCCGGTGTGGTGGATGCAAAGCGACTACCCTCACCCCGTACCTTGGCAGAGCCACGGTGAATTCTCTGTCACCAGGTCAAGTCCAGAAGTAGATCAGGTCAACTGATGGGTCAAAGATCAAGGATCCTCAAGTTGATTTGATCCGTTTTCTGGAGTTTCTCAATTGAATTCCTTTCTCTCCGCTTGTTTGGTTTTGTTGTGTTTGTGGTTGGAATGTCATGGAGGTGTTAAACTTCCGCCCATTCAAAAGAACATGTGGTAAGAGTCGGTAAGAGTCGGTAAGAGGCAGAAAACTGCAACAACTGAGTCATACGCACCACTTCTCTTGGTAGCCCGTTCTGAGTTACAGTATATGTTGACAAATGTGAGGGCTGCCTGAAAGCAGTGATGAGTTGCGATTCGTCTCTCCAATTCAACCAAGTACTGCTGAAGTGAATGTACCTCAGAATAGGACTGCTGATGTTCGGGACAGCATTGGGCTTGTTCCCCAGCCCCGGCCCTGTTTCTAGTTGTTGGTTAGTGGCTTTTGTTCAACGGTGGGAGTATCACACGGCTCCTCAAATCCCACATGCCGGCTCTCTTGTCATTCAACTCATCAACACAAAACCGGTTTGTCAAAAATTTGTGTATACCGTATACCCACCAAAATGACAATGTCAATGGGAAAGATGGTGATAAACCATCAATTTTTGGGGGGTTCCTCTAAATTTTCAGTTCCACGTTTTTTCGATTCCCATGGCTAAGGAGATGCCTCTGGTCCGGCTACAAGCCGAAATGGACATGATGGAGCCGCTGAATCTGATGGGACTGGAACCGCCTTGGGTATTCTGGAGGAAATGTACACAGTCCAAAATCGATTCGGGAAATCATACCCTGTACAGTACATGTTTGCCTTACAACTATTTACAACATTTTATGACGATTTGTACAGCCTTGTACAATTCAATCTTCTTCTTCGTCATCATCACCACCACCAGCATCAGCAGCATCAGCAGCATCAGCAGCAGCAGCAGCATCATCATCATCACCACCACCACCACCACCTGAAAAAACATATGTTTGGGTTTAACCACTGGATGGCTTGTTCAGAAACCTAGTTGTGAAACGAAAGCTGAGCGAATGGCAAATGGTCCCTCCAGCCCCTCTCCAGTTGGTTTCCACTCAGATCGATTGGCCATGGATATCAACCTTCACGTTCCACTGCACTTGTCAATTGTGTGCGAAACCGTTGGCATAGCGTAGATTCGATGCTTCTGAGCCAGCAACAACCAGTTTCATAGGCTATCATAGATTTGATGGGAGAATTCTGTGCACCTTCACGTCATTTAATGTTTTGCCTGGTTCAGATGCACAATTAGGTGAAGGGTTTGTTTGAAGGCCAACAGCGTAGCATCCCTTGGCTTGAGCCTCACTTAACATGAGATTCCCTGATGGCTTCACAATTTTGTTGTTTGAGACACGATGGCACGACAAAAGGGCTGCTGCGTTGGGCATTTGTGAACACCTTGTCAACATTTGTCAACAATCCCAAGAGACAACGACCACCTTTGGAGGCCATCTAGTCCTGGGCAAACGGGTACTGTGCTTGAGATTGGCGCATGAAATCCTGCAGAATTGTTAGAATATGGTTTGACAGGCTTCAAACATCTTCAAACAAATGCAGATATATGATATATATATATATATTATAGATATTTATATAAAGAGTTCCGAACCGGTTTGCCCACCAGAGCCCTGGGAAGCACTTGATTGATTTCTTTCTCATCGCAAGAGTCGTGGATTCTACGTGTTACTGTAGTCCTTGCAGCAGTGCACAAGGTTATTGCAGAATTGTAGAAACATGAAAAGAATGTCTGTTGAACATGTCAAACGCTTTTCCATGCGTGCAGTCGCACTTGGTCGATTCGATCTCACCAGCCCTCCAAGCAATTAGCAAACATTGGCAATTTTCAATTTTCGTGCTCAAAACTTGTTGGATCATCGCGAAAAACGTCACTTCATTTCTTGACGTCCCATCCACCTCAGTCAGCGCAACTACCAGTCGACTCCTCTTACGGAAATTTGTTGGTATGGTATGGTATTGTCAATTTCACTGACTCAAATGGAGAAAACGAGTAATGTCAACCCCGGATTAATAAACCATGGTTTATTAATCAGGGGGGTACTCCTCCAATAGTCATATTCCAATACTTAAATGGTATCCCCCCAATTAAACAGCCTATGGGTTTATTAATCCAGGATTGACATTAGCACCTAAGGAGTTGTGGAATGGGCGCCCAGCCTGGTCTCAATGGTGGCATCCATAGATCCATAGCATAGCTGCATAGCCGGCATAGCCATTGAGAGATGTCGGGCAAAGAATCCCAATCCGAAACGGGCTGTGTCACTGCAAAAAGGGGACCGCGTCACAAGGGATAGGAAGGGTCTTGGATGGACATCCATGGGCACTGCAGTTGCTGGTCCAGTTGAGTGATAAATGAACCACCATAAAGATGAAGGGTGAATGGTCAAATGGTCATAGATGGTAACGTAGGAAGATCATGCTGGCCAGCAGTTGGCCCAATCAGATAATCATGCCCAATCATTTGAATAGTAGGGATGTCCATAACCACCTCTGAAGTTGTTCCAGTGGAACTTCTGCGGCAACCTGCCCTTCGGGTATGGTAGATTCATAGGTTGATGGGCAAAGACAACATATGGTTCAGCCAAAAATTGAAATGCAGGAAAAAAAAGTTGTCATAAGAAATATGTTGCATCATTTTTCTTGTATTTTACCACCCTAAACTTGCTTTTCACTCAGCCAAAGGTTGGTTTTCAATCAACCCAAGCCAAAATTCAAATACATAGAAAATGTTTGCCAGAATTTAGTTTTGGGTGGCCAGAATTTAGTTTTGGGTGGCCAGAATCTAGTTTTGGTGGCCAGAATTTAGTTTTGGGTGGCCAGAATTTAGTTTTGGGGAATCTTTGGGGCCAGAATTTAGTTTTGGGTGGCTCCAACTTTAGCCTCAGGCACCCCCTACATGTTGAGGCTTTGTTTTGCATCTTTCTGTGGAGGTTCTACTCGCTTCAAACTCTTGATGCCTAGCCTTGCATAGCAGCTTTCTGGATGCCTCCAATGGTCGCATTGACTCAGGGCCATACTGCCACAGCAGTGGTGCTGATAGTTTGGAGCCCGGTGCAAACTATGATTTGGTTGAGGAATTGGGGATATTGGGATACGGATACCCCGGAATTGCATGGAATTGCTATGCTGACGAGGAAAATGATGATAAACCACTGGATTTGATGATTTGAGGGTACCCTATTTTCGTGCAAACATCCCAGCTCTTTGACAATAAAATATGGACTGCACATATTGACGGTAAGATATTATATAATTTATAATATATTAGCGAACATTCATTCACAATACAAAGCTGATCATCAGCATCGCCAGCCCTCAGGCTCTTGACAGTAACTGGTTTGGGAACTGGCACGCAAGGACAGGGTTTCTTGCACGGAGTCTTACAGATGGACCATTTAGATGCAGTAGAGGTTGTATACTGCACAAGGATCTCATTCGTCAAATGAATGCAACTTGCAGTTTTCCTTCTTGTGTATTCAACCTGCTGGCCTGGCTCGGTCTTATCTTAGAAGACACAGTTACATCGTCCATTTTGCATTGTCTCAATGTGCTAGGAAGACCCTCACCTGTACTATCGCCTTTCCATCCCAGGATGATGCGCATGCCCACCAAGATGGAGATGGACTCGGCGCACACAATTGAGGCACTGGGCGCTGGGCAATTTTTGAAGCGTGTACTGCACTGCGGAGAAGATTCCAACGATTTGCCAATGCCAGGGTGCCGGGAAGTCGGGTTCAGTGGGTGCGCCGCCCATTGCCATGACTGCACGAGAGCTCAGGGTGGTCCGCAATGCGCCGGTCAAGTTTCTGTCATGCAAGTATGGGTCAATATTGAGTAATTACTCAAAAAAATTGGATGGTTAATGATGGTTATATAATACTTAGTTTAATACGATACGAATACCAAAAAGAACCCACATGTGCGGTTCCCTGGGCCTTGAATTCAGCCACATACCCATGTCAGTGCCTGACTTATGATTGGTTGAGCTTGCGTGCACTGAAATGAGATCTTTGTGACGCAAGAACTCAGATGCCTTGGATGCCAAGGAAGTGCAGGATACCATCGTCATCGAGGAGCGGATCGACTGGGTTGGACGGGATGTGTCAGAGATGAAGAGATCTTTCCTGAGCAGAGTCTTCAAGTCTTTAAGTGGCCCGTCACACGATGTCTGAACTTTGGAGAACACGGACTTGCAATGACTGGAAAGGTCGCAGCAGGTGAAGCTGTGTGAAACTGTGCTCTGGGATGCGTTTGAGCCATTTCGATCCCTAGCCATATGCATTGCATTGCACCGCTGTGATACATCTCTGGGGTGAGGATCTGAAACGAGAGCCCTGGGCCAAAAGGGACCTGAAGTCCCCAGCTCAGCAGCTCTTTTTTGCAGGGAAGGACACAGGCAGAGAATCTGTTGACTTCTGGAGTTAACACGTCCGGGTTGTGTGGCACCAAGGCCCAAATCTGATCCCATGCCACCCGCCTGCATCATCGACGACCCTGCTTACAGGCAGAACTGCCACAGTCTCCACTATACAGCGACATTCCAAGTTGATGATAGTATATGATAGTTAAGCAATCATAGATGCCATGTGTATATAATTATATATGTGTATTGTATTCAGCCAACATACAATGTTTTGAAGTGTTTCATGCGGCCATCAGCAGGGAGAAGTGCTTCGCTTGTTTGCCTCGGTCCAACCTGTCCAGTCCACCAGGGGTGCAGAGTGGAAAGAAGTTATCCGAGTGAAGCTCCGCAAGGCCAGCGCATGCAAGTTTGCCCTGCCCATGACAAAGCAATGGATGTGAAGTCTTCACAACCAAAATTGACGGCTACGCGGCTACAGTGTGGTCCAGATTATTTTCACATTTTTCACGCTTTCTCAATGATTTCTCAATGATCTTTACGTACCCGATGCACTATGGCCACTATGGAGGCTGAGTCGTTTCGTTTACACACCTTCGCACCCATCCCCACACCCTGGGGCCGCCCATGCCAGCTGCCTGCGCGGGCATCCGTGACGAATTTGCGCAAGGACTTTAGCATGGTGCCTGGGCAGAACCGGGAATGCAGGGACAGGGATCAGAGCACTTGGCCGAAAGCTCTGAGAACATCAGACACTTTTTGGTAGGCGAACATCCAAGGTTAGATGATGTTAGATGATGTTAGATGAATACAGGCATCTATTGAGATCTATTGAGATCTATTGAGGCCTACTATGGCCTACTCTACACCCAAAGCAATCCAAAGCTAGTTGTGAGTCGCTGTGCCCACCCGACGCTGTTGAACATTGAACCAATGGAACAGGTAGCGGTTGCTGTGGAAAGTCGCGATGGGCTCCAGCTGGGGCCTGAGCAATGACACTTTTAGGTGGCCGCTTTGGTGAGTCCCATCCTGCGGACAGAAAGTTGTTCCGGATATGAAAAGAATTGAAAAGACATTGAGAAATTTGAGAAACCCTGAAGTTCGCACCGGATCCGTGAATCAGTTTGTGTGCATTGTGTCCATGGTGTATTTGTCAGACCCACAGCTTGCACGAAGTGGTTGTCTCTAGCACGCGATTTACTCAAATCTCTTGATTCCGTATGTTTGGTCGTATCCCTATACACAATATGTCACCCTGGCACCACCTTCGCAGCTACAGGTGCGGATTGGATGTGCCTTTGCAGACGGGTGGATCAGTCTTGCCTCTTGCAAGCATAATGACAACATGCCCAGCAGAAGGTTTGCTAAATCTAAACCAAGCCTTTGATGTCACAGGTATGCACAAGTCTTGATCGTGCTTTCCCAGTTACAACCGTAGTTTCTTTGTGCCTGATGTTTTGCTTGGAGCGTCTCTGAAGTTTCTATGCAGTGTTTGATCCAGTTGCATTGCTCCTTATTCATCCTCGTGCTTCATTTGCAAATCTGAGGTTTGGCTTCGAGAACGGAGAAGAGAAATTTGAAGGTGCAAAAGGGTCCAATGTCGAAATATAGGAGTTGCCTCAATAGGACACGATCTCTTAAGACATTGAGAACTCTTTCCGTGCCTGCCACGATGGACAAGTCACACTCCATTTATTATTCACTACATCTGACAGGTTTGCGTGGTTTGTTGGGTCTGGACGATGATGAGGCGGGCCAGTCAGGTCAGGCTGCAGGAGTTGCTGTCCGGATTATGGCATGTGAAAATCAAGATCCAAACCCCATGATGCTATCTGAATCCTTGTGTGGTCAGAGTTCCTTGCCATCCCGCCCATTGCGCAACGCTTCAGGATCCTCGTGATCTTGTGGAACGTGTGTGGCTTCCAGTGTACAAGTTCGAGGCCGTGTGAGGACATGTTTGTCTCAGCATGCCGCCACAGTTTCAGCTTTGTCAAGTCAACACAGCCAACACCATGTAGTGGGCTTGAAGGACGTTTCACATTGCAGATCTGGTCTCGTGCTGGTTGCATTGGTCCTGATATATCGCCTAGCAATTGTTTGTCACTTCAGTTCAGAATGGTAGCTTTATGTGTGAGCAAAAGAGTCACTTTTGGCGCTACCTGGAATCATAGCCATAGTTGGTCAATGCTGAGTATCAAGGGTGGCTCATTCCATGTCCAATTGCCATGATGTCAGCAAACATGTTCGGTTGAAATCTGGTGTCATCCCTCTTTCTAAATCTGAGGTTGGAGACTCAATTGCTGCTTTTCGGGTCAACTAACTATACTTACTATCTATACTTGCAAGAAGTCATCCATCATGATCCATTTTTGGGTAAACTACAGTTGCTAGTTTAAAATCGTATGTAGTCATCCATCACCTCATAGTCCCATACTCGTGTGTAATAGTGTACATAAACAATATTGTTGATATTGTTGTCATTCTATCAATGAATAAATATACAAGGGGGTATAATTGATAGTAAATATCCAATATTGCCAGTATAATCATCCATAATCCTATTACACATATTTTGTTGATTGATACAGTTAATGGATTGTCAAAGATACCATAATATCATACAATATCAATATAATGGTATCATTATGATATCCATCCATCTCTGTTTTGGATAAAGAAACCCATCCGTTCCCAACGTGTTTGGTCAGGTCCCTGCCGGCATTACCGGGGAGTCTTGGAGCACGCGCTCCAGAAGTCTTCTGTTGGACGATAAGGCACCTGTGGTTGAAAGATTTCGGTATGCTGGTATGGTTCCGATGTGTGTGTGTATATATGATCTAGATATGTACATATAGTTAATTACAGAGGTATGATATATATATATATATATACATACATACACACTGTGGATCGAGAGTATGTGAGAGTACCAAGAGGGGTGGAGCTTGCTAAAGCACCCAATGGAAAGAGACAGAATAGTAGGGTTTTGACAAAGTTTGAACATGCAGCGCAAGTTGAATGAGGTGCCACCAGAAAGAAATCCGTCCAAGTGCTTGTGCCTATCTTGAGAAATGTGGCATTTGATTTTGCCTGAAACCTGCTATGAAGTTCCATATGCAGACCGCAGCTGTTGTAATTGCGCTGTTGCTCGATCATCACAGGACGACAACCACAAGGTCCTTCTGAACGCAACGACACGAAAGAACTTGGAGATGGATAGCGATGAGGAGACTCCCTTCGTTGGAGCTAGCCGTGGCTTCCATCGAGCCCCTTGACCCAGCACCTGTGGAATTTGTCGCCCCAAAGTTGAACATAGGGTGAATCCAAAAGTTGAACAAAATGATTCAACCAACGTGTGCTTTCAGCATCTGCATTGTTGGACATGCACTTGCCGCACATAAGACTGCATGCTGCACTCAGTTCTTCAATAGTCCAGTTCTTTCTTAACGATGCTACATTATAACATTTGTAACATACCGTACCATTCTATTGTACAACGGGCATGGATCCCTTCCTGCTGTACTTTTTTTGGAGGTCAAATCTACAAAACCTGCACAGCTCCCCTTCCTCTCCGGGATGGCAGTCTTCCCGGTGGAAACCGTGGAACCCTGAGGTTGGTCCGATGAAATCAGCGCCCGCGGCATTGACGCCCATGGCATCCATGATGACACCCTTACAGACACCCAATGCCAGCAAGCCGACCTCGCGCGAGGGCACGTGAGGGGTGCCCAGTGAAGGAACGGGGAACAGTTCCAGGGAGCTGCGTTCTTCTCAAAGCTGAAAACAACATCAAATAACAAGGACATACTTGTACACCCTACATTCGGATACATTTGGAACCAGTTGGATTGGGGCTTGGCCTCAGCGTGTTTCAGAGCGTGTTTCAGGGCATCCTCACGTCTGGGACGAGGCCGAAGCGTGGACCCATTGCTTGGAAGAAAGCTTCACGGATGCCCAAGGCCGCGATGCACCGAGGTGTTTGGATGTAGATATATTATGATGTGTTCAGGTGTCAAAGGGATCAAGGCAAGATATTCTAAGATATTCCATTGGGTGCGGGACTGTTTCAAAAATTGGCACTGTTCAATTTGTACTGGATTATATCAGTAGACAAGTGTTTGGACAACATTGGACAACCATTGAGGTTATAATCATGAGATCCATCGGGACATTGTAACATGTTGGGGCCAGTGACAATTGACGAATGGAATGAATTTGAGTTTATTGTCATGACATGTCATGACTTTCATGAGACTTCCGAGGAGTTATGTTCCAATGAATTGATGGACCAAAAACAGCATCATGGACCATCATGGACCAACTTTTTGAAAAGTTAGAGTGGTTATGAGTGGTTCAAAGTTTTGAATGCACAGCAGGCAGTGAGGACATATGGATTATTCTGATGAGGAATATGTGTGGGCCATGAAAATGCAGAGACGAAAAAGTCTGCAGCATGCGCCAGAGAGTCCATTGATTCCATTCGAGCCATGAATACTGGTATCTTATGGTGCTGAGAATCTGGAGTTCGGTAGATGGTGGTATCAGTTGCTTTGATATACTGTATCTTGATAAGATTCTTTTGCTTTCTTTTGCCACCAGATAGTAGGAGAGGTGACAAGTGTTCGATTCAAGCCACGAAATTGGCTTCGTGGTGATGAATTGTTGTTCTCCCACAGATAGTTGCTAAGGCTTCTGAGGTTTCCCTCAATGATCCTAGGAGTTCAGAAACAACTACTTCAAACCCACGAAGCTTTGGTCCAGTTTCTTTGCGCCGAAGGTGCCAGACATGAGGGCGCCAGAGATGTGCGGAGTGATCAAAAGTGATGGCAAGACCAAGTGGTTTCCCAGGACAGATGAGGTGCGGGACGGCATGTCACTGGCGAGCTTTGAGACTCTGAAAGGTTTGACACGGCTCTTGGATGTCTAGTTATGTCTAGTTCCCATCCCCAATTAGTCGATCATTTCACTGGGGAATGATGGAAAACCATAGCAAATTAATTTCACCCCCTTTCAATATTGACTCAATATGAAATACCTCACTAAACCAAAGATTCTAGGGAGGTATCTAATACCCACTAAATCCCATGAATTTCCAGTAACTTCCCATTAATTCCCTATGGAAGGGGATGGGTTGATGCTGGGAGCGATTTGACGAGGTGCTGACTGATGGGGACACCATGATCCTGGCTCAGGGAAGTGCCTGGAACCCGGCGGAAGCGCCAATTTGAAGAGAGCTAGCATCATTCCAAGAAATTCCAAGACACCCCCTATGTCGAAATGATTCCAAGTGTAAAGTATGGTTGAAATATCTTCGATGCATGATGCATGTTGTCGGACTGTTTGACCGTGCTCTTGGATTCGGAGTTGCTGCTGAAACAGCAGGTTTTGGCATGTTTTCGCAAGAAGCTCCGCGATATCATCAATATCTTTCTCTGAACATGAATATATTAATATATACAGTATATATGTACGTGTTTCATCATTATTCTGTACCAGTAGTACCGCACAAGGCGGTGGCGGAAGTTTCAAAAATAGGAAACCTATAGGAGAAGTTGGTTGTTGTGAATCAGGGATGGCAGAGCGAAGCCACTGATTGACCGAAAGGTGGTTGGAGTTGTGTTTGCTGGAATGGTTGCAATGGTTGCAGTGGTCACTTCACCCACAACTGCTGGATGTAGCGTGATGTACTGCAACTGTAGTTGTAGTTGTAGCGTAGTGGAGTTGTAGTTGTGGTGTAATGTAATTAGTGTAGTGTAGTTGCAGTCATATAGTTGTAGCTGTAGTTATTTTGTAGTTGTAGTTGTAGTTGTTGTAGTTGTAGTTGTTGTGTGGTTGTAGTTGTTGTGTAGTGTAGTTGTAGTAGCAGCAGCAGCAGCAGCAGTAGTAGTAGTTGTTGTTGTTGTTGTTGCTGTTGTTGTAGTTGTAGTTGTAGTAGTAGTAGTAGTTGTTGTTGTTGTTGTAGCTGTAGTTGTTGCAGTTGTAGTTCTAGTTGTAGTTGTTGTGTAGTTGTAGTTGTTGTTGTAGTTGTAGTTGTAGTTGCCCCGTCCGGCGTACAAAAATAAAATGGGGGGGCAGGAGCCCCTTTTAAAATAAAAAAATAAAAATAAAATGAAAATAAAATGGGTCAGACCCCGGCATTTTATTTTGTGGGTGCATTTTATTTTTTGAGGTGCCTAACCCATCAAGTTAACTTTTATTTTTTTGAGGTGCCTAACCCATCAAGTTAATGCTTTGTCAATGCTTTGTACCTGTGACTCTTCCACCAGGGCCTTTCACGTATGGTTTGAAGGGCGTTCTACGCTTGGCCCTTCTCTGTCGAAATTTATCCCTCATTTTTTTTGGCAAAGTCTTGTGAAACGTACTCAGCCCTGGAAGATCTCCAGCAAGATGCGTGGGTTTCTCCATCGGATGCCCCTTAGTCATGACTAAACCAGGGCAAAAAATATGGTCAAATTCATCCCAATCCAAGTAAACAGATTATCCTCCCCTAGGGTTCTGAACCAACCAAAATGGGACATTCAAATGGCACACATAGGAAAAGATAATCTGGAAAATTGAAAAAATATATCCTACAAAAAAATGGGGGTGCCCAAGGGTAAGAATAGCAATCCTCATGCGGGTGCCTTAGGGCCCCCCAATTTCTAGTGGATGGCAGCCATCACAAAGACGCATGGGGCAGTCTACATATTTGTTCGCCATGAAACTATGAAGCTCACCAGCATACATGATTCCAGGCTTAATATCTAGACACCCTTCATGGACCCCTCAAATAGTTAGTGGTAAGTATTGACAAACCAAAACAGGCATCTCAAACCAACCCCCAATATAGGCACTATAGTGACCTAATCTTGAAAATTGAAAGAACATATCCTACAAAAAAAATGGGGGTGCCCAAGGGTAAGAATAGCAATCCTCATACGTGTACCTTAGGTGCGTTCAATATATTCAAATGATTTCCGTGCCCGGTCTGTGATTCAGGACTTCAGGTGGTCCTGTTTTTGTTGCGGTGCCATCAACGTTTTTGCAGCCTAGCCTCCCAGTAGCAAAGGTATGTGCTGACCACAGCCAGGGTGTGGACTGTAAACAACGCAGCCATCCAGGAACATTTAAACATCCAACTCCCTCGCGGCTGCTCCAGGAGAACCCAAGGAGATCTCACTTGCTTCATGATGTGGATAAATGTTGCTGTTAAAACCAATCAAAGAAGGAAACAAGACAAAACAAGATCAACCCAAAAGAAAATGCAGGAGCCCGAGGTCCCTGCATTTTATTTTATTTGTTTAGGGGTTCCACCCCCCCCCGACAACAGACGAGGGTCAATGGCCAGGTGGAGGGTGCCTGACGTCATTTTCTTTTTGTACCTGTCCATTGTATTTTACTTGGGTTTTCCTATCTTACCTTATGCCCTCTCATTTTATTGGCATTTTTTCCTTAGGCCCCTCCATTTTATTTTATTTTTTTAGGGGTTCCACCCCCCCTGGCAACAGACGAGGGTGTTGTAGTTGTAGTTGCTGTTGTTGTTGCTGTTGTTGTTGTTGTTGCTGTTGCTGTTGTTGTTGCTGTTGTTGTTGTAGTAGTTGTTGTAGTTGTAGTTGTAGTTGTTGTTGTTGTTGTTGTTGTTGCTGTTGCTGTTGTTGTTGCTGTTGTTGTTGTAGTAGTTGTTGTAGTTGTAGTTCTAGTTGTAGTTCTAGTTGTAGTGTAGTTGTTGTAGTTGTAGTTGTTGTAGTTGTAGTTGTTGTGGTTGGTGTTGTTGTTGTTGTTGCTGTTGCTGTTGCTGTTGCTGTTGTCGTCGAAGTTAGGGTAGTTAAGTTAGTTAAGTTAGTCAAGTTAGTTAAGTTAATCAGGGTCTACTTTTTCGACATCTTCACGTCAAAAAAGGCTCAAAACCCTCAGTTTTTTACACTTTTGACTTCGAAATGTGCTTCGCGCCACAACGGCGTGCACTTTTTCGACACTTTTTCGACATCTGAACCTCCAAAAGTGGTCCGAGACCGTCAGTTTTTTACACTTTTGACTTCGAAATGTGCTTCGCGCCACAACGGCGTGCACTTTTTCGACATCTCAACTTCCAAAAGGGGTCCGAGGCTGAGGTGTTTTGCACATTTTGACTTCGAAATGTTCTTCGCGCCACAACGGCGTGCACTTTTTCGACATCTCAGCTTCCAAAAGTGGTCCGACAATGGTGTGTTTTATGCATTTTGACTTCGAAATGTGCTTCGCGCCACAACGGCGTGCACTTTTTCGACATCTCAACTTCCAAAAGTGGTCCGACGCTGAGGTGTTTTGTACGTTTTGACTTGGAAACGTGCTTCGCGCCACAACGGCGTGCAATTTTTCATCTCTCATCTGGCCAGCTGGCTCCGCACCTTAGCGAGCCTACTTTTCGACCCTCCGGAGCCCCGAATCATTGGAAAAACACAGTGTTTCGCGACTTTCCTACCTTTTCGCGCATCTGCATATTCTTTCTTCTGATTTTTTCTCTTCTGACTCTTTTCACCTCTGCTTTTCAACTGTCCATATTGTCGGAAGTTTCACTTCTAAACTTCCTTCGATTATTCTGATTCTGCATGGTTCAATCTTTTATAGCATTTAAGGGCTTTCCAAAATGCCGACTGTAAAGATGACGCCGGTGCCTGCTGATGGCTGAGCTGATCCGATTACTGAACCGAGCTCCCGACAACCTTCTCGGGAGCGGTTGGTCATGGAGATAGACTGATTACCGGACACTGAAAACACTTATCACAGAGAATCCAGGAGAATCAAATGGATGTATACCCCCAATTCATTGCAAATTGCCTTACCTCACCCTGTTAATATATCACCATATGTTACCTGTTTTTTTCATCGATGCTGATTGTCCTTATGTGCAACACAGCTGATTTGGGTACGGAGCAGAAGCTGTTGCTTGTCATCACATAGCAGCCTCATGCGTCATGCGAGATTTGTCATGCTGGAGCCTATGTCTTATCAGGCGCCTTTCCACCTGAGGGGAAAGGTTGACTTTTTGTTTGCCCTATCGCCTGCAGGAAATGGCAGAACCGCTTTCAAGCTGATACTGGTACATCAAAATAAGAGGATCAGCGGCAGTTTGTGCAATATGAAATCTTTACTTAGATTAGCCATGATAAGTTTTTATCATCGTTTGTCCTGCTTCAAGGCATTTTAAGTATTGCGGTTGTATTTCATCCGGCACGGTGACACAGCGGCCAGGCTTTGGCTGTTACTTCCAGCAGCTGCAGAGTCAGATGTTGAAGCCATTTTCCTACAGAAGGAAAGTACCAGTGGGCCAGTGGGCAGCGCATATCTTGCCGATGCGCCAATGTCAGAAGATAATTGGAGTCTCGTTTGCTTGGCAATGACAAGTACGACAAGTATGACAAGTATGACAATAATGACTCAGCATTCCTTTATCAAAAATACTTGCTTTGCGTGTGCTCATCCGAAACGCGAAAGCAGGCTTTATATGCTGTACAGTAGCTACCTGGGAAATCCAGGTCCGTTTCTGACGCAGGAGCTACGCATCTTAGACGCCCGATCGCAGCTGCCAAGCGAGGATATGCCCTGCCAGGACAGATTGCACTGCGCGGAGGATGTGTCAACACTGGTTCGCGGCTTCCTGGAGGAATAGGATCACTGTTGCTTGCTGTCAGGCACTACTTCAGTTCTTGGCAATAATGAAGGTTTTTGATGGTCGTTGAACTTGACTTTGCGATACTTCTCAATATGTATTTATTGTCTCTGTGTGATGCTCTATCATTGTTGTGGGAACCCCAAATCACAAATGTTGCAAATCTAGTTTCATTGCCTCGATAGATTTTGGAATGGGACGGACTGGCAGCTGTGCTTGGTGCTATCCTCAGTGTCAGGATAGCTGTCTTCCTACAGTCTGGGTGGTAGCTTGGCCGCGATGGCCCCTTGAAATTGGGGACTGGAACACTGGCTGTCACTGGCTGTCACTGGCTGTCACTGGCTGTCACTGGCTGTCACTGGCTTCTGTGGCCAAAGATTGTGGCTTGATCCCAGGGCTGCGGGGTGCGCGGCTGCGCTGTCCCCTTGAGGTGAGCGCAGGGCGGAGTGGTAGCACAACCTTGCTGGAGATGCTGAATCAAATCCCAGGCTATGACATCATGGGCGAAAACCAGCCACTTGGTAACTACAGAAATGATGATGATTGATGATGAACTATGATGAACTATGATGAACTATGATGCGTGATGATGATTGATTCATCATGAATCTAGGGTGGTTGGCATGGCTGGCAAGAGATATTTGTCATTCAAGATTCTGCTTTCAGACAACAGGTCTCAATCCATAGGTTTTTTGTCCTTATTTTCCCTAGCCAAACCACGGGGGTCGCCTCCTGGTCGCAAGGAACATGTGGGGTTCCTTGTTCAATCTCTTCGAGCAGCGCGAAGCCATGGTAGCAAGATACCGGTCTCTCTCCGAGGCAATGGATGGCCAGTGTCCATGTCTTCCGATCGCCTTGAAGGGCTATCAACAAACCCAAGTGCTGGAAGAATCTTGGGGATATCTCATGAAATTTGGAACCCAAAGGATCATACAAGTATCACACGATCATACTATGCTATCTCGGATTTGCAACAACATGGCTGGCCTGTTCCGCAGTACATGACCTATCGGCAAAGCTTGAAGAGGAACATGTCACTCGACGGGAGCTGGGATGCAAGGTTTAGGCTTCAAACGATTCGTTTAGAAAGAAACATAGCCCACTGATTTGTGCAGTCTTCAATAGTTTTCAGGATCAACCATCTTTCTACCTTTGGAGAGGCGGCACGTGAAAGTGGCAAAAGAAGCAGCTCATGATAGCCACGTGAATGGCTATATTGAATGCCACATTCACTACGAATTTCAGCTAAGCCTGTCCTCTAAACTTGGATGAGACCAGATGGTTCGGACTTAAGTGACTAAACATCTCCAAATTTGCGGTTCCATTGCTGCCCAATGGTTGGAGGCACCCACAACCATCCATACCGACAGAGGATTCCCAGACGCCTCATGGCCCAGGTCCGAGCTTCGATGTGCTTATCAGCTCAGGGTTTTGGGAGAGATCAATCCAGCCGCTTGGCATCTGACACCGGTGAATGGCTAGGGAGGGCAAGAAATGGGTGAAGTTTCAAACCAAAGTGACTGCATGTTCCATCAATTTCCATCAATTTCCATCAATTTCCATCATATCTCAATAACTTGAATGAATTTCATGATGGCATGTTCAGGGGAGTTCCTATGGCAGCCTCTGGCATTAGCCCGGCCATCAGGACAGTCAAGCCCGAGTGGTTGGCTTCAAGGCGATACCGCATGGGCCGTCCAACCAGCGATGGTGCAGGGTTGGCAATGGCTGATGACACCTGCTTTCTTCAACGTCTTGCAACTTTGCGTACGGAACTCCATGATTCTTAGCTTTCTCCTTCAAAGATCAACCAGTATACTGGGTCTACGGGCTGGTAGACCCACATCCGATGGTGGTTCAATTTCCGACAGGCTACTTGAGTCACTCACCAGCACTGGGTTGCAGGAGATCCGTTGGGACTTTAGCAGATCCTTGGACGATTTGAAGCTGCTCATGGAGGTAGGGCTTATGAACTGATGCTTTTGATGGAAGTTGGATGTTTGAAAAGAAACAGATGAGAGCCAGGTTGCCATGATGTGCGCAGGTCTTTCCGTGCTCGGTCGCATTGCTGAGCTATCGCTTCTTGATTTGCTTTGGAAGTTTGGGGTCCACGATCTGTGGTCTGCGTTGGCATCGAGCATTGCTGTTTTCACAGCCATCCCACTATAGTCACTAAATGGGAGATAGAAAAAAAATACCATTGATGTTTGTTCTTTTAGGTGTATAGTCTATAGTAAAAACGATAGCATTTTGAGCCACAACTGGGAGATAGAAAATGACTGGTGCTCTTTATCGATTGCTAAAGCCAGAAAATAGCACGAAACTAGGAAATAGCAGCTGAAGAGAGACCTGGTTGCTACAGAAACTGCATGCCATCGCGGGCAATGTTTTGGAAGAAATCAACTGCTGAGGGTGCTGCCGACACATGTTGAATGCAGCAGGTATAGGCTATCTACTGTGGATACTTTACCAAGATTACCTTACTATCGGCGTTGGCCTCTTTATTTGGGCCTTTCTGTTTTCTGGTGTTTGGACCCAGGAACTATGTGCAGTTTTCCCGGAACTATTTGCAGAGTTCCAGGAACTACTTGAAAAAACATGCATTTTATTGAGGGGAGTTAGCGAGGGAAATATGATGATGAGTTAGCACAGGCTAGCTAAAGGGAAAACAGCAACACAACACTTAAATGCCCCTAAGTGCTGAGTCCAACTGATTTCAGCTTACCAGTGCGTCCCTATTGTGGGTATATGGAAATGACAGTACTCATGAGTTATGGTATGGGATATGTGCATCCATAACATGCCAACATGTTGCCTTGCTAAACTTGGGAATCTCGTGTGTGGAAACAAGCACCTCGAGCATAAAAATACCTGTTTGATTTGATAAATCAATCGGCCAATCATATCAAGAGCCATGTCAAATATACCAGAACCAAAAAACTATGGTTCAATGAGCCAACGAATAAAAAACAGCACCAGCCGGTTTTGGTGTATCAGTGTATCATTCAGCGGAAAAGATGCAAATAAAATCATTTCCAGCCTTACTGAGCCATGGAAACCAATCAGGCCAAAAAAGAAAAACAATTCACCCCCGGGTCGCCCAGAAGAAAACGCAGTGAATCAAAGTTTGCAGGAGCAAAAGCCACAGCGCACCCAGCCCAAGCCAATGCGTTGGACAAACTTCACCAGAACCAGCACCACCAGCACCACCACCACCAGCAGCAGTTCCAGAAAGGAAAGCACGCCCCAAAGTGTAGGCCCAAGCGCAAAAAACCACCACCCGTGCCACAAAGCCAAGCAAACCCCAATCTGAGACCCAAAACAAACAGCGTTCCGTGTCCTGGGGAATGTAGCTAGTCTTAAGGTATGTCGACTGCAACTGAATGTATTGTATATATATATATAAGTTGTTTTCAGTTTTATGTCATGGGCCTTGTCATGAATCAAGTCAATTCAAGTCATGTCACGTCATGTCATGTCATGTCATGTCCATCATTATATGGTTGTTTGTTTTGGTTGGCTGTGTGCATGCAAAAGGTTCCAAAGATTATGATACCCTATCGTATCCTATCTCACAATCCTAGGCAGCAGCGTACCAAAAGGGCGGCCATGCAAATGGTGAACTTGATTGAAGGCTGTGGTGGTGCTGGCAAAGGAACCTAATATGTCCTCCAGCCACTCTCGTATCACAAATTGCGTCATTCGTCATGTCGGTGAGACTTTTGACAGTTTACTGTTTACCTCTGTTTAAATGCAACTCCGCGGCGCGAAGTTGAACTATGTTGAACTCAGTAAATGTCAGTACTCAATACAGTTCACATGATCAGAGGTTCCATAGTTGAGATGCCAAGGGTTCACACATCGAAAAAAATGAGCCAACATTCAACATTGAATGAAAATTTTTGGGTGAGTCCAACATGTGAACAGTAGCATCAGGGTCAGCGTGAGTGGCCATGTCGTATTGTAAAAAGGAAAAGCAGAAATCAGAATGGTCAAGATTCCACTGTTTCTCTGGTTAGCAAAATGAGCGACAAACTGGCGACCTTCCCAAGACATGCAATGATCTAACTGCGGCGGAGCATACAAGGTCTCAAAACCAAAGCGCGGCATACCTGCTGATAGTTTGCAAGGACCTGATTGTGACTACGCATCATCACCTGGATGCGATTGTCTGTTGGACGAGTTTTTTTTCTCGCAGGGCCTTTCCTGACAAGGACACCATATCTTGTAGCTTGTGAGATTCCACGTAGAGAGGCCACAACAATCACCCGATTCTGGCTGTAAGATGCTGTAAGTTCGAGGCAGCCCCTGAAATCGAAAATCTCGTTTTTGCAACCTAAGACTTCGGTATGGTACCTCGTCGGACCATGGCCGCCAGAACTTTCTCGGTGACAGGTTTTCCGGACTTTGGGGTTTCGGATTGCCGAGAAGGGTGTCGTCGCCCTTTCGGCGACATGTTTTTTGGAGTTTCTATTCGCTATGAATGGCAAAATTCCAGGAACTATTTATAAAATTCCAGGAACTATTTATTAAATCCCAGGAACTATTTGTAAAATCTCAGGAACTATTTAACTATTTGTAGATCATCTTAGCGGATCCCAGCCCAAGAAAGGATATCTGCAAACATTCCACCGTCGCTAGAGCAAACACACATTGTCAAGTACTGCCGGGACAAGTTCGGGTCGACCGTTTGACTAGAAAACCCAACTTTCGGACACCGAACCGGAAATCATGAACCTTTTGCAGACTGAGGGATTTTGGACATTCAATTTGTTTCTTTGGTCGTTTCTCAGCAGATATTGATTGCATAATCTACTAAAAATACCAAAAAAAAAGGTAGACTGACCACTGACCACAACAGACAAACCTGGCAGAAGGCCGATTGGGTTTGAAGATCATGGTTTTGATTTGTGTTGACTTCACACGCAGGTTCAGCAAAAATTGTAAATGAGTAATAGGTCCGCATATCATATCCTGGATCTCGCTTTTTCTGGGCTAAGCTGGGTTAGTTCTTGGTTTTGATTTCTGATTTTGGATTTAGAAGCAGTTGGGAAGGCAGCAAAGATTAACAATAGATCGACACCGTTCCAAACCGTTCTGAGCTGTTTATTCTTTTTGTACTTTACAGGGTTAATAAATAGATCCGAACCGTTCCGAACCGTTCTGATCTATTTATAACTCTGTGTAGTTTACGGGTTTTATAAATAGATCGGAACCGTTCCACGTTCTGATCTATTTCTACGTACAGGGTTTTTAAATAGTTCGGAACCGTTCCGAACCGTTCTGATCTATTTATACGTACAGGGTTTATAACTAGTTCGGAACCGTTCCGAACCGTTCTGATCTATTTATACGTCGCATTTTATGAATAGTTCGGAACCGTTCCGAACCGTTCTGATCTATTTATACGAAAGAAGCAAAATCGATCCAATTAGTTCCAAATAGTTCCAAATAGTTCCGAGTTTATAAATAGTTCGGAACCGTTCCGAACCGTTCTGATCTATTTATAAAAACGAATGTATAAATAGTTCGGAACCGTTCCGAACCGTTCCGATCTGTTTATAAACAGAAGCGGTTATAAATAGTTCGGAACCGTTCCGAACCGTTCCGATCTATTTTTAAAAACGGATGTATAAATAGATCGGAACCGTTCCCAACCGTTCTGATCTATCTGCAAGACTGTCTATACATTAAAAAAATATAGATAGATCGGAACCGTTCCAAACCGTTCTGATCTATTTATAAACTTGGATGGATAAATAAATCACAGCCATTCCAAGACGTTCTGATGTATTTACCAACTTGCATTTGTAAATACATACAGGATTTTAGAGATAGATTGGAACCGTTCCAAACCATCCTGATCCATATAGTTATCAAGTATGTATGTTCAACTTCTGAACTTCCAGAAGTTACTTGGTCATTAGCCATAGCTACATTTTCAACTCCCTTCAATTCAGTTCATACACGTGTAAGCAAATTCAACCGACTAGTGGTTTCTGAATTTCGTTTTTTTCTGAAAATTTGGGTTAGTGTAATGCACAAACACAGTGAAGCACATCGAACCGAACCGATGTTTGCACGAATCATCAAGTCATTTCGTGGCATGTACTGTATCTGTAGCAGAGGCATGAATGCCCAATGGACTGAAAACTTAATGTAAAAAATATCTTCAAAATATGTGCAAAACTAAAATGAACTAACCATTGTTTCTGGTGGTCTTAAACTTAGAGTATTGGAAATCATATTCAATAATAAACCACCAAAAGTCGGGGTAGCTTAAAACACTGGCCCAAAACCCATAAGCGTACTACTATTGTAGACAGATGGTTTGGTGACTGCTTTGGCCTCACTATGTTTTTCTTTTTTAAAAATAGGCCCAGGAGTTTGGAAACAAAAAAACACCAGTATCAGTATAATGCAGTAAATAGCTTCTGGGATTCTATAAATAGTTTCTGGGATTCTGTAAATAGTTCCTAGGATTCTACAAATAGATCCTGGGTAGCTATGGCCCCTAACACAGAAACAGGCCAAAGCAGTAAGTAAAGATTACCTGCGTATTTTCACGACGCATGTTTTTAAAAGATTTTAAAATGCATAGTGCCCAACAGACATATCACAAAGAGCAATGAACGTATTGGCCAACAAGAATTTGTATCTAGGTTTCGTCATTGGCCTAGAAAAGGTAGATGGGAACGAGTGGATGATTGGATGACCCGCTTACTTTGCACATCTTTGCACCAGCACCTTGTTTCGGTTATTTTGGCATCCCGGCTTAGGTCGAAATTTGAAGGCCGAAGCGCAATCCAGGCATCAGACAGATGCGGTTTTGGTATGTTTTGGTACGGGTGTGATTTTGCAGAAGTTATGACTGCTTAGTGTTGATTGGACTTGACGGAGATTGTGTTTGAAGAAACAAACCGTTCTTGGAATGTTCATTCTGTTGCAGCACAATGTTCTTCTTGAAGATTAGGAACGCATACCGCATACCATCATAAGTTTTCAAACTACAAAATCTGTCCATAATTAGACTATAATTAGATTCTACGTCCCCTCCACCGGAGACAGAAGGCAACGCAGCACTCGGGGAGGCAAGATTCCTTGGGAGCCTTCCCTGATTCCAACTTGCGTCGAGACAACGAGGCACATCGTCAGGTTTGGCGTGTGGTGTTTGGCGTTCAGCAAATTTGAATGTCCGAGCGAAGAGCGGTGCTGAAATGTCAATCGTCTTAAGTGGGAGATCCAAAATGGCGGTGTGTGTTGAAAGGCTATTAAACTAGTCTAAAGGGAGGGTTAGCGGTTGATCCCTGATCCTTGTTTCTAAAGTCAGTCAGATTCAGTCACCGTGCAAGATGTACAAAAGTTCAAGTTGACATTGAAAGGAGATTCATTGGATTCACACACTGCTTCGTTTGTTGGGTGGAGCGGAATGCATTTGTTGACAGGTGATGCGAAAATTTCATAAAGAGATGCCCCAAAGGACATTTATGATGCTTGTCCAAAAGGCTCCAGTCATTGAAGCTAGGTCATCACTACCCCTGATATTCCTAGAAGGGGAAAGGATACTGGAAATTTGACGAGTTGAATGGTTTGTCCAGTCACATCTTCTGTATGCCTTTGGGAAGAAACGCCATGCCAAGGGTCAATGAATGGCAAACCCATTGCATCAGGGAAATGACTTCCCGCAGATCTTTTGACCTCTCAGAACACTCTCCATCTCTGGGCAGAGCAGCATGTGATTTACACACTCGAATTATCCCCAATTGGATAATTCTTGTCATGCAGAGATCCAACTTGAAGTGCATTTTAAGGATCGCGTTGGAAGACTTCTCCGTAGATCCTTGGCAATGTCTCGTCAAAGACAAAGCGGTGGTTGCTCTTGAAGGCGAAGTGCACAAGCCTTTGGGCACCTTAATGCAGCTCTTCCTACTTCATTCATGTTAGTTCCATTTCCAGATTCCACCAGGTTGTTCCTATGAATGCTCTTGGGACCCCCAAGACAATCAGATGAACTGTTGTAGTGGCTTCACATTCATAGCGGAGAAGGACGTGGCATTGGCCATTCGGTGGTAATTATCGAGAGTAGATTTTGTGTAGTAGTTTGACTCTCACCTGTAAAGCTGGCTGCAGCCAAGGACCTTTTTAATCAGATGCTTCGATTTCTTAAAGAGGACTCGCAAGGGCCTTTGCTGTTGTCGGTTCAGCTGCAAGATGAGCTCCTGCCCTTTGGGATTGGTTTGATTCGACTGAGACCATACCTGTGAACACAACCAGCGCTCACTGCAAAACGATGTATAGCAATGCAGCTTTCTCATTGCTTAGATTAGACTACCTATTTTATTACCTATGGGACGACTTCCCAGCAGTTTGCAGGATTCGTGTCAGTACACCGACATCCTGCACGACAATGCAGGTTCAGGTGGCTAGGATGGAGATGTAACGGAAATGATACCCAGCTCACAATAGGAAAAGAAATGATTTTCAGCAGCCAATGAGTCCAATGGCCCATGCTGTCTTGCAGCATTCGCCTAGAATTGTCAGCCCTTTGGCTGATAGTCCGGCAAAAACGAGCTGGAACAACTGGTTGCAGAGTGGTATGCAACACAGTCCAGCCATTGTTTGTCCCGCTCTTCGAGCTGGGCCCAAGACCGGAGAGCCACCCCCTCGGTTTGTCTCCGGGTTGCAAGGCCTGAGAGTAGCGTCACAACCAATGCTCGGCAAAGGCCTGACGGGTACTCTTTTGCACAGGCCGTTCTGAATTGTCCACTTGCTTCGTCTCTGCCTGCTAGCACTCGGTCTGGCTTTCGAACTCCAGGAAAAGCTTGCGCATGCAGTGTGGTAGCGGAGCGAGGCAAGCCCATGAGCCGCAGCAACGTAGGTTTGATGGCTGGTGCGCCATACTTCCATTGCTGTATGTGCAATCGCTGGTGTCCAGGTGCTGCGCCACAAAGTCGATGTTGGATAGGGGTTCGCCACACACTTGCGAAAGCGTCATCCTCAGGAATCTCCGGATGTTCAAGGATGGCAGCACCTCCACGCAGTACTACGACTACTTCGACGCGAAGGTTCGCAAGCATCAGTGCACTCCCTGCTGACAATTGCTGGAGTTCTCGTTGGGTGAGAAAGCCGACGCCCCATGCACGCAAAGCAGAACGGAGAGGTCTAGGCCATCTTGCTCGCAGTTCTAGAGGTGGTCGAAGGTGACGTGCAGCACTGCATGTTTCACACGGGGTCCTGAAAGAACCCCCGCTACAATGCCAGTGGCGACAATGCGATGCAGCGACTCCAGACCAGGTCCGGTAAGAAGGTCACAATGCGCACCCCCGACAGCAGTGTCGATGGATGATATAAGGACCGCGTAGCCAGTAAAGTACTGCTCAATTAGCATCTCAGCCCAGTCGTGACAATCTCCTTGTCTGCGGCGCCCTGAGAAGAGATGGAGAATGATCAATGCTCGCCGTCCATCTGGGAAATCACAGATGGGAACTCCCTCCTGCTTTGGCCAATAACACACCTCAGGGTTGGTTACCGGGCCTAGCAATTGCTCGCTGTTGTCATAAGCACTGCTAATAGGCTCCATGCAGAGGAAGACGGGTCGATGATCATGAGCAGGCGCTGGTTCAACCGGAGGTGAAGGCTCCGGAGGTACAGCGCGCTGCAGTCGCTCCAGGCGATCCAGAAGGCCAGCAATGGGAAGCTCGTAGAGCAGTTCCAAATACTGTTCTTTATATGGAGCTTGTGATCGATCTCCTCAATTTGCTCGATGACATCACACATCGATGTTCGACCCCATAAAGCAAAAGCCCAAAGCGCTTGAGGGTAGCGCTCTGCATCAGACGCGTACTCTTCCACGATTTCACACCAGGTCCACGTCAAATCATATGTGGGCTCAGAGCTCCATGCAAGCGTTGCTGAAGAGATGTCCGTGAGAACACGATCACAAAGTTCTTCAGAAAAATCTTCTCGAAAACCTTCTTGGCGCCATTCAGTCTGCCAAATAGTCCACTCCCGGCTATGCTGCCGACTCCATCGAGCGGTGATAGTTTGAGGTTGAGGTCCGTACACTTCAACACAAGGAAGTCGATGCTGCCCTCGATGAATTGCAGGCATTTCAACTCGTTCTGGCTCAACCAAGGGATCCAAATGTTGCGAAACCCACCAATAATGTTGGCTTACGCTTGGAATATCTGAGATGCTGTTGACGATGTTGAAGACGCTGAGCAGTCCAGAAGCACTTTCGACAGCTTTCACATACCCCATTGAAGACGAAGCGTCGCTCGTCCGAGATGTGTCCATGTTGTTTCCATCGATGAGCAGTCAGCCCTTGAATCGTGGAGAACACCTTGGAACATGTAGGGGACGGAAAGAAGTCGACCAACTGCTCCTGTGTCGGTGTCAAGAGGTTCGTCAAATTGAACTCCATGCTCCTGGCACAGCATCTTAATATCACGATGCATGCGAGCAACATGATGAATGGTCTGCTCTTGGGTGAGAAAACGAGAAACAGCACGACGAATTTGATTCGGTGTCTGCGGTGATGCTTCATGCACCCATCGCAAGATTTCTTCACTGGTCCATTCCAAAGTCGGAAAGTCAGGGATCATGGTGCTCAGCCATGTCAGTGCCTGGCGAGCTGCATCAAACCAAGTCGAACGACAGTAAGTGGCTTCAGCAGTGACAAAGTCCCAAACTACTTGAGGCCCACATCGATGAAGTTGTAGTAGAAAAAGATGGCGATGCTTGGCTAGGCGCACTGCCAAAGGAGGAATGCGCCAGCGAGCACGGAATTCTGCATCCGTGATGTTGTCCTCCTTCCATAAGCCCTTCCCTGCAATCTGTCGCTGCCATTTCGTAATGGTGGACGCAAGGGATTGGAATTGGCGCGCGTTCAGCAAGGGCCAGCTGCCACTTCCATAGAAAATGATTGGTAGTACAAGAGCATCAAGCAACTTCAAACGAAGTGGAACGCTAAGGCGGCGATTCAGGAATATAGTTTTGCTATGTTTTGCTCATGCTTCGATAAGCAGCGGAGGCGGCCCCCAACTTTGATCCGCAAGTCCTGTCGCAAGTCACAACTTTGCGCAACCACAATGCCCAAGTGCGTATAATGAGTCACGATGTGCAGAGAATCATGCCCAGGGACATCAAGGCGACCATAACCATCGATGAAGCGGGCTTTACGTCGTTCGGGAGCCCCAGGTCCTCTGTATTGGACAATTGCTTCTGTTTTGCCTGCCGTGCAATTCAAACGAAGACCGTATCCTCGAAATACCCGGTGAATCTCACCCATGGCAGATTCAAGCAAGGCGTCTAAATCACTTGCTTGCAGGCAAGGCAGGGGCAAAGCAATGTCATCGACCCAGGCCGCTGTAGGTGATGAGCACTCCAGAAAGCAATTGGCTTGTTGAAGTAGTGGAAGTTGATGCAACGCAGTTTGAAGTTCCTTCAAAAGGAAACTCATCATCACGTTGTAAGCCAAATCGGCTATTGGAGACCCTGGCCTAGAGCCTCTTGTGGCCTCGAAGCACTTCGTAGAACCCGGGCAAGTGAACCAGGTATTGCAATGGGCGTCCTTCATCAAGCGTGCAACAGTAGGTGGAGCTTGTTCAAATGCACTGGCATGATGACCGATGTCGGCAGTGAGTTTGTCGACCTCTAATCCTTCTGCAGTGAGCACTTGCTGCAACTTCAGAGGAAACTGATTCGTGGTGGCAAATGCATGTTGCCGCAGCAAACAATGAAAAGCATTCTTCACGTCCACAAAGACGATGGCGAGGGAAACTTGTTTGGCCTCAACAACTCTAGCATAGCTGCGTAACAACAAGGATGCAAAAATCGTCTGTTGCCCTTTGAAACCTCCGAACTGGGTGTCAAGGCGGTTTTGCGCGGCCCAGGGAAGGAGTCGTCTTCGCAGGAGGCCATGGTGGAGCTTTCCAAGCACGTCCAGTAACATGATTCCCCTCATGATGCCTGCTGCCGTACGCGCTCCATGCTTTTTCGCTATGGAGCAGATAAATCCTCCCTTAAATTGAGGAGGTTCAGCTGAGGCAGTCCACATCTTAAAAAGCAACTTAGTAGAAGACATCAAAATGGGAAACCATCAAGTCTTGTAGATGCTCAGCCTGAACTCCATCAAGTCCTGGCGCTTTGCGACGTTTAGCCAGTTTGCAAACTTGCTTAATTTCGACACGTGTTGGGAGGTCGGTGAGCTTCGTTTGAAGTGGCAAGTCAGCTTGAGCCTCACGCGGACGTTGGGCACATTGAGACAGCAAATGTGCATACTCAACCTCCTGACCAGCTTCAAGCTGCGCATAGTGGGCTGTGAGGCCATCAACTTGTGGGCCTGTGCAGCGAATATTGGCTTTTCGTCGAGCAACGCTTTTGGGGAGCAGATGCTTGATCTTGCGCCACAGGTCCGATAGACCTTCATCAGCAGCAATGTCGCCTTGCTCAGCAGCCAACGCATCATAGAATGCTTTGTCATCTTGTCTAACAGCTTGGGTCACTGCAGAACAAAGACGTTGGTACTGCCAGGAGTGTAGAGCGACTGCATGGTCAGTCAAACGGAGCCAAGGTCGAAGCGGTGACTCATCTGAGGTCTGCTTCAGGCGCCACGCAACGAAAACTTCACGAAGAACTCCTTGTCGCCATGTTCGACGCAGTCGTCGAAGGCGATTCCGGTGAAAACGTTTCAACCGAATCAGGTTCCATCTCAGGTTGAAGGTGATGTTTGCGACATTGAGCTGCTGCTCTGGGAGGCTGAGTTTGGTGCATCCAATGTTGGAGCGCAGCCGCATGTGAATGAACGTCACATTGCCAAGGAGTTGCTGGCGGCGCACACGGTGCATTCTCAAAGGTGTCTGCCTGTCGGGAATGTTCAGCCACTCGACATTGAAGAGGAATAGCAACCTGAATACTGCGATGGTCTTCATGATGAAGTGCCAGATCTATGTTGGAGATGCAAGTCTGAATGCCGTTCTGCCGCAGATTCTGATCAAGGGCAACGTAGTCTAGGCGGGCAGTGGCGCCAGAACTATGAGTCCATGTCGTGTGATCACCGCAGTGAAACTCATCAAATGTTGGTGGTAGAAAAAGGTTCTGATCATGGAGCCATTGATGAAAACACTCTCCTGCAAGGTTTTCTGGTTCTTCACCAAAGGAGCCAACAGCCTGTGACTGCATGGATCCAACCCGAGCGTTCGCATCAAGCAGTCCAATGAATGGCCATGATCGAAGAGAAGCTGGTATGCTCTTGCTAATGTTGGTCCAAAATGCCGTAGCAGTCTCAAAAGTGGGGCAATTGCATCGTGCGTCAATTTGACCAGCAAAAACCGTGGGTCTGCCGCGACAATCCGCAAGTCAGCCCATCAGCGTGGGTCGTAAAGCATCGAAAGCCTCCAAAACGGTCGCCTTGTTCAG